ATACACATACATATATATACACATACATATACATACACATACATATACATACATACATACACATACATATACATACATACATACATACATACATATACATACATATACATACATACATATACATACATACATACATATACATACATACATACATACATATATATATATATATATACATATATATATATACATAAATACATATATATATATATATATATATACATATATATATATATATACATATATATATATATACATATATATATATATACATATATATATATATACATATATATATATATACATATATATATACATATATATATATATATATACATATATATATATATACATATATATATACATATATATATATATACATATATATATATATATATATATATATATATATATATATATATACATATATATATATATATATATATATATATATATATTATATTACATATATATATTATATTACATATATATATATATGTATGTATGTATGTATCCACCTATAAATATCTACCCATATATATATATATATATATATATATATATATATATATATATATATATATATATATATATATATATATATATATATATATATATATATTTCATAATACATACTTAAACACACTCAGAGCCCCCTATACCAACACAAAACAAACAAACAATATCCACAATCAAGAGGAAGCAAATCCATGCAAATGAAACAAAACCAAAGCTGCCAAGGAGGTTGAAGAATTTCCTGATAAGTAAAGCAGAAATAAAGCATAAAACCAGAGACAAAAATGTGGCTGCACGAAAGCCCTTCCCCTTTTCAAATGGAACTTTCAACACTGTATACTGAAAAAAAAAAAAAAAAAACTCAAATTTTTACATATGAATAAAAATAGAAATGAACAAAAAGAAGTAATCAATGGAAGAGAAAAAAAAGGTATGAAAACAAAAATGGAAAAAGAAAGAAAGAGATAAAAGGCCCTGATAATCATTCAAAATAATCTTGCCAGTAATTTCTTGACAACCGCTATATTTCTTCCCGTACAAAAACGGATAAAGAAGTCTACTTTCTCTACATTTCCCTAGAGCTGAATGCACTCACGCCTCGCCTCTACACACCTCCCTTTAACGGACATCGGAAGCAAGAGACAAAATCTAGGGCAGCCGACCCAGCCCGTAAGTCTGGACACAAGCCGTTGCTTATCGAGCCGACCACTAGTTGGCTGGCCGTCACTCTGTGTGCATTCATGTGTGGCTTATTGCTCTATGTCTTCCCCCCCCCCCCTTTTTTTGATGGGTCAGTGTGCTGAATTGGCTTTGAGGTCCATCGTTTTCTACAACCACATAGTCTGGAGGGGGGGTAGGGGCCGGCAAAAAAAGCAGAAAAGGGTGAATTTTACGGCAGCACAAAAGCCTGATTTGATCAGAAAGTTAGAAAGCAATGTGTCTGTGAAGAGAGTGTATGAGGAATAGGAAAAAAGAAAATGAAAATGAGAAAGAAAGAATGAAAAAAGAAAAAAAAAAAAGCTTCAGATATAGAGGCAGTCTACACTGTCATACTAGATGGTGTGCTTGATTAAAAGTACAGTACTTTATTATTGCTCTTTTTCTTAAAATATATATAATTGTGGACAGTAGCCACTACAGCATTAGTGGCGGTGACAACGGACAATCGATTCTCTCTGACCTGTGTTCTCCCCTTCTGCCCATTAAGACAAGGCATTAGAATAGGAATAACATTACTATTACTAATAACAATGCTGATAATAGTAATAATAGTAGTAATAATAATAATAATAATAATAATAATAATAATAAAGAAAAATAATCAATCACTCAAATCCAAACAAGGGGAGTCACAACATGGTATCACTGGGAAACCACCTTTCTTAATCATAACAAGTTCCATTTTGTCTACTAATGACTAGCTTTTAAATTTCCAGCTGAAATGAACCACAGCATGAAAGTACAGGGCTACTAGATTCTAGGCTGAGGCTGTGTTGTGTGTCTAAATAACAACAACAACAATAATAATAATAATGATAATAATGACAATAATAATAATAATAATAATAATAATAATAATAATAACAATAATTGTTGTAGTAATAGTAATATAGTAATAGTAATAGTAATAATAATAATAATAATAATAATAATAATAATAATAATAACAACAATAATAGTAATAGTAATAGTAATAGTAATAGTAATAATAATAATAATAATAATAGTAGTAGTAATAATAATAAGAGTGATCATAGAAATAATAATAATATTGACAATAAATTCAAATTGAAAACATGATGAATGAGCCAGTGCCACGGTTCTGCAATAACAGTTGTGCCATAACATTTCTTTACCATCACACAGCACAACTCACAAGTCAAAAAAAGGTGCATTAATCTCCACCGCACAGCAGGAACGCCAAACACACCACACATTAACCTCTGAATAGGTGCACTACAAAAACATGATATGTCTATCTTATTGTGCTCTTTTTTTTCCCTCAATATTCCTATCTGTCCCACAAGCCCATGCTCTCCCTTTGGGCAGAGGCGAAAAGGTGAAGAGGGGGAGAGCAAAGCAAGACATCCCTTTCCTTACTTGCTATGAATAAAAACATTGTACATACATTGTCTGTGGGGTTCAGGCCCAGCTGATGACACAGGTTATCATGTGCTGCAATTTAAAACCATGCTGAGCAATGCTGCATCTCCTCTTTGGAAACGTTTCAATTATAAATGGTAATTCAGACACATGTTTATTACAGCAAAATGGAGTTGAAAGTGATGAAGAAGGAAACCACTAAATTCACACATCAAAATAAAATAAAAAAATAATAAATAAATAAAGGAAGGAAAATAGAATGTTCATGACCAAAAGAAATAAATCAATGACTTCCAAATTTGCTCAAATGATCATGATTAAAACAAATAAATTATATGACTATGAAATTTACTCAGTGTTTCTAAAAGACTTTGGCATTGAGGGTTACAGCAGACTTCAAGCACTCTGTCTGCAGTCTGTGAAAGCGTATCTGATCACCTTACAAAACGGAAATGTCAGTTGGAGTCTTTTGACACTACTGACAAAAAAAAATAAACACCTATCAACAACTGACTATGGTACTAGCTGCTACAAGTAGGCCTGCTAAGTCATAACAGCAAAAGTATGTATTATTATAAATTCTAATAATGTACAAAACTAATCTCCTTCACGTTGACACCAACAGCAATAAAAAAAAAAAATGGAGAAAACAAAACCCACACCTACGACACCATCTCCTTTTCTCTGCGTTGAAAACGTAAAAATGTCAGCACACACGTCTAAATAAAACAATGTAATTATAATCAGCAAAATGGTATGCATGTGCTCACTACAAGAACTTGTATTTTCTCTCCATTTTAACCTATTACTGAAAATAAAACCTAGGCAGACTACTAATGTATACTTTTCTTTCATGTCCTGGTTGACAGGTTGACAGGGAAGAGGGCGCCAAGATGGCTAACAGAAGGGAGAGAAGGGAAATGAAGAAAAATACAGCATGGAAGGAGATTCGGTGAATCAAATGGGGGGATAATGTGAAAATTTCAAAACTCAAAGTCAAAGATCTGTCGGTGGAATAACCCGTAAGAAAAAGTTGAAAAGAAGAAGAAAAAAAAAAAAAAAAAAAAAAACAATATATACTAACAATAACAAAACAAAACATGTACTCCCTAAGAAAAACAACTCGCAAAATAATAACAACGCAGGACATGTACTCCTTAACTAAGCAGAAGACCCAGCAATAACAAAACAACAAACTGAACACAAAAAGGTCTCCTCACGCAGGTCCTCCATCAAGAAACTGCAAACTAAGCCTAATGGGAGAGAAAACCAGCCTGGTGACATGTCACCACCATATGCTAATGCCACCTATTTGCCTCTCTATTTACCGTCATTTGTATTATTTTGACTGCTAAGTGTTATTAGCATATTAAGTCTGACTTATGGTACTAGGGATCACATTGTCTGTTTGCTTATTTTAATTGTTTACTGTTCTTACCAATTGTACAAAAACCTTTACATAGGTCCTATGTAAGGACTTAACTACCACAATACTGACTGGAATGTTTTACGTATTGAAAAGCAAATTCAATGTACTAAATTGTACAGTCTAACTCTATGTAGCAAATATCACATTCACATATTATGTAAGATCTGTAGGTATCTCACTGGTATTTCTAATAACCTGTGCAACAAATATGTAAATAAACCACTGGCTTTTCCATCCCCTCTCATTCATTCAAATTTCCTTCTCTTATGTAATCTGTGTATACATATGCATGAAAAAAATACATAAACATACAAAAGAGAGAGAGAAATTAGGTTATAAAAAGCATAATCAACAAACAAGGGCAAATACAAAGACATGAACACAAATATGGCAGGGTGAGCAATAAAGTATGTAGTGGTATGTGTATGTCTGTACACTGGTCTTTCATCTATTTATCAGTTTAAGCAACTGTGGAAAAGGAAATTTTAACAAATGCTGCTTCTCAAAATGTGTTGTTAAACTGTTGGCGAGAGATGTAATGAAAATTTCTTAAGAGGTATAATTGTCTCCCTCTCCAAGAAATAAAATTTCTTCTTGACGTTCTCGTTGCAATGAGAAATGTTATGGCTGCCATCATTAATGTTTTAACCATCAGGCAAAAGTGACATTCAGTCAATGCTGAGGTGAAAGAAGAATCCTGTTACAACAAGCCTTCTTCAAATATCTGTGTCTATTCAAGCATATATATATATATATATATATATATATATATATATATATATATATATATATATATATATATATATATATATATATATATATACTTAACAAGTTTGTATGTATGTATGTACATATTTTTATGTATGTATGTATGTATATTCCACCCTGCATATTAGTAAAACATAGAAAAAAATATAATAAAATCAGAAAAAAAAGGAAAATGCTTTCAAACACGCTCACACTCAACGACTGGAAGTGCATCTACCGAGTTCTAGTAAATGATATCGTACTTTGCGCCTTTGGTGGCCGTGATCGCCTCCTCTAGGTTGTTGTCCAGCTTGTGGTACTTCCCTCTGGAGGACGACCGGCGGCCTCGTCTTTCCCCAGGGCTGCGGCCTTCGATGATGAGCGCGATAATCTGGGGGGGAAAGGGGGCACGGATGAAGGAGAGAAATAACATGGTTTTTCGATTTAGGATTGTCTTTTTGGATTGCTCTTTTTCTTTGCCCTATATAGCTTTTGGGGTAGGCTTGCCAGTTACTTGGGACTTTTAAATAATACTGACACTGAAATTTTTACCAGAATATTCTAAATCATTGCTAAAACACAATAATGGTAGAAGACCATACACTTCTTTATTATTATTCCATCAAATTTATTGCTACTTGTATTTCAATAACATTAGAATCCCTATAATAATCATGATTTTAATAATAATAATAATAATAATAATAATAATATTAAAAATAATAATAATAGTAATAATAACAATAATAATAATAATAACAATAATAATAATGATAATAATACTAGTATATCTATTAAAAGTTTAAGAGAGAAAAAGACATTCTTCCACAAATTCAAGTCAAAAGTCCCCTTAACTGACTCCTTGGGGGCTGAGTACATGCGGAATCATCTCTACGAAAAATAAAATAAAAAGGAGAGTGACCAGTACATAAACCTCAAGCAACTTGGTTAAGAAAAGTAGCTGTTTAATAAAAGCTTACTTTTTAAAATCAGATTTAAGGAAATTTTGTGCTTTTTTTCTTTCTCCCTTTCTTTCTTCTTGAGAGACTATTTATACGTTGGTTAATCTTTATTGAAACCTATGAATGATTGAATGGCAAACTCATATACATAGAGGTAGAATAGTGGAAATGTAAATAAAAGAACACTTGATTGAAAACAAATATAACAACAAAGCAAAAAAAAAAAAACATAGTTCAAATTTCAATATTACATAAAAAATTGAATATTGCCAACCATGGCCAGGAACTAAGCTGACTTTAGCTTTGAGGAATATTTCTTCAGAAAAATGACATTGAACCTAATGTTAGAACTAAAAATAAAAGTAAACACATCATTCACAAAGAAAGCAGATAAGGTAAATAAATAAATAAATAAAAATAAGAGACAAAAACATAAAACAAAGCAAAAAAGCGTACGCCACAGACATGCTCTCACTCCCACACAAACACCGGCAGCCAACTTCTTACCCGTTGCTTGTTATGGAACACCAAGTAGAAGATGATGGCCGAGACCATGATGGTCAGGAAGTACGCAAAGAAGTGGGAATCCTCGTCGTCGGTGAATTTTCCTCCGTTGCTGATGATGACCTCTCTGTCGTCTTGACTATCTGCAAGGTATGAGGGCGAGTGAGAGCTCGAGCGGGACAGCGAGTGAGAGGGAGAGGCCGGGTTGTCTCAAAGCCGCCTCTAGCTACCCAGTTTCGCTTACTGGTGACGTCACCTATGCTCCTTTGTCTACGTGCATATAGGCCTTTTTTATTTTTAATTATCTATTATTTTTTTTTATTCATTTCTTTTCTACTTGAAGTCAAAACTGCATATTATGAAAGAAAAAAAAAAGATGGAGATCCCTTCATACAATTCCTGCTTAAAGAAATGAAAAAGAAAATAATGAATACACAAAAGATGTGACATCACTGTTACATTCTAGAGAGAAAGTAAGAAAAAAGAGAAAGGTAGAAAAAACCCTTTGAGACATGCAGAAAAACACAATGGGGGGAGGGGGATAGAGACAACAGAAAGACAGAAAGGAAAAAAGAAATATATAGACTATATAATTTTGTACTTGTTCTATAACTGAACCCAACTAAAGTTCAACAAAAACAAAGCTATAAAAATATAAATATATATGGTATATAAAAACAATGAAATACATTGAAGAAAAAAAGAAAATAAAAAGTACAAGAACATCAATATGAAGAGAAAAAAAGGAGTAGAGGAAACAAGTGAGAGAAAAACAGAAAAACTTGTGGCAATGGCTCTTTTTTACCTTCACCTAGCTGGTCATTGAAGGAAGGATTATTGGCCTGCATATCGGTTGCCATGGAGCTCTGCTGAGAGCTGTCCATCGTATACGAGTAGTCGTTCACGGGCTTATCCACGACAGCTATCTCATTTTCGTACTGTTCCCTATTTTCATCATCGTTGTTGATGTTCTCTTCGATGAGATTGTCCTCTGTGTCCGATCCCTTGGCTTCTTCGTCCACTGCCGGTTGTTCTGGCTGCTCTTGTGTCTCGTTGGCGTTTTGCTCCTGCTCCTTGGGCTGTTCCACCACTGCATCAGAGTCCTGTGCGTTTTCTGCCTGTTGCTCTGGTTCCTTCGGTGCCTGTGCTTCCACTTCAGATACTTCAGGCTTTTGTGTTTCTTCATTTGCAGGCTTTGGTTCCTGTGTCTCAGCAACACTCTGCTCAGGCAACTGTGGGGGCTCAACAGGTGGACTTTGGGCAATGTTTGATGGAGCAGTACTTGGTTGGGAGTCCTTTGCCAGGTCAGCAGTCTGCTGGGACTCCTGTGCCTGTTCTATAACAGCTGGCCCTTGTATTTCATTGGCTTTAGTCTCCGTCTCCTGAGGGACCTCTGGATTCGAGATTGGAGAAGCTTGAGGGTCCTCAGGTTTGGCTCCATCTACCACTGCACTCTCACTGAGTATCGGAGGAGGGTTGGCTTCCTTACCCTCTCCTCCCTGAGCCTCAGTACTTCCACCCGCTAACATCTGGGGTGCCCTGCTGGAGGGATCTGCTGCTTCCTCCACCCCCTTTTTCTCTGTCTCACTCTCTCTAGGAGATGGTGATGGTGGGGGTGGTGGTGGTGGGCCTTGTCCTTGGTCAGCATCATCCTTTTTGGCACTAGCTTCTGGGTCTGGCGACTGGGACTGAGGGCTTGGAGGCTCAGTTTTACCTACAACTGTTTCTTGGGCCACAGTTGTGACTACATTCTCTACATTTTGTTTGACAGCCACAGTGGACAATGGTTTTTCTGCAGGAGGGTTATCAGCAGAGCTTGGACCTATCACCGTTGGAGCAGAATTCCCAGGAGGCTGCTGGTTGTCCGTATTACTAGGCAATGGTTTGTCAGCAGCCCCTGAAGCACTAGGATTTGTAGGGGCAGACGACACCATATTTGCACTCTTACTGATAGTGGCCGGAGGCAAACTTGGGTCAAGCTGTTTCGGTTCATTTACTGGAGCCAACATCACAGCGGTGAAGACAGCGCACAAGACACACGCTACATATGTGGCACTCGTTCCTTTTAGCTTCATTTTGGTGGTTCTTTCCTTCTCTTCTATCTGGAATGTATTTGAAATAATTTATCATATTCTATTGGCTTTTATAACATTTGTTTAAAAAAAGACTTCAAAAAGGATACCAATGTCTATCCCACTGCTGCCGGATAATCACAAAGTCTAGGCTAGATTTGTGTGAATTTTGTTTGCGGCTAAATGACCCAGTTCCCAGCCACCAAGCAGCCATCAAGCAGGCCTACATGACCTTGCCTCATTTCCTTTTTTTTTTTTTTAGTTTTCGGGCAAAGTTTTTCTCTAAAGCTATCAACATTGATGTTATTATCATTATCATTGACATCTGAGTATCATAATGTTATTAACAATACTAACAGTAATAATTTTCATTTTTTAATCTTTCTGCTATCAAGGATAAGGGAAAACAGAGATGGGGAAGACTAGTAACTGATTCCTTGGTGAGTATGCACAAGTTGAGCCACCTATGTAAAAACACACACACACACACACACACACACACACACTGGAGTATGTACTGAGCTCTAAACTGTAATTTCCCTAAATAAAACTGAGCCACATGCTATCACATGCTTTCTTTCGTGGAAATGTTTGGCACTTTTTCAATTCCCTTTTAGGTGTATACGTGTGTGCATGTCTATATATATGTACGTGTGCATATGTACAAGTAGCATAATGAGGAAAGGGAGGACTGATAACTGCCATAAAATACCATCAATTTGGTGTAAACAAACTTTTTTAAGACTCAAATAAGTTGCAATTCAAAAATACTTCTCTACTGGGCTTTCAACGCCTACTTATAACACTTGTTCAGACACATGATCCACATGTCCTTCCTTTTACTGTAGTTCTTAGGCATCTTACGAAAGTCTTGTCACATAATTATAACTTATAAACAGAATAATCTTTTGTGACTAACTTAAAAAGCCCAGGATAAATATAGTTCAAAATTTCTTGCGAAATTCCTTTTTATACAAGAATTTTTAACGGAGTCCTTTTCATTTCATAAATTCTTTCTTATAAATTGTTTTTATTCCTTAATTTCTTTCTTACAAACTCCTTTTGGTATGGCTATCTGGGAAATGACCCAGAGGTTTATAAACCAGAGTGACCAACCTGAGAGATCTAGCAAAAACACAGTTCATCATTCCGTGGAACAATTTCCCAACAACTACATTTTGGAGCACGGTCTCTCAATCTAATAGATTCATAAAAAAAAAAAAAAAAAAAAAAAAAAAAAAAAAAAAAAAAAAAAAAAAAAAAAAAAAAAAAAAATCACCGACTCCAAACGAAATACACAACCAGACACCATACTACATCACACGACCACAAAATTCTACACTTTTTATCATTTCCTTGACAGATGATAAATGACTTGACTCAAATCTCTCACTTATCTTTAGAGGTATGCACATAAATCAGGGCTGATCATGTAATACCTGTGGCTAACGACTCGTGAAAGTCTTAATTGCAGGTGATGGAGCAGGAGGAAAAGGTGGTGATGGAGCAGGAGGAAGAGGAGGAGGAGGAGAAGGAAGAGGAATAGGAAGAGGAGGAGAAGGAAGAGGAGGAATAGGAAGAGGAGGAGAAGGAAGAGGAATAGGAAGAGGAGGAGAAGGAAGAGGAATAGGAAGAGGAGGAAGAGGAAGAGGAGGAAGAAGAAGAGGAAGAGGAGGAAGAGGAGGAAAAGGAGGAGGAGGAGGAGGAAGAAAAGGAGGAGGAGGAGGAGGAAAAGGAGGAGGAAGAAAAGGAGGAGGAGGAGGAGGAAAAGGAGGAGGAGGAAAAGGAGGAAGAGGAGGAAAAGGAGGAGGAGGAGGAAGAGGAAGAATTGGAAGAGGAAGAGGGCGAGGAAGAAGAGGAATAGTAAGAGGAAGAGGAAGAGAAAGAGGAAGGATGAGGAAGAGGAAGAGGTAGAGAAAGAGGAAGAAGAGGAAGAGGAAGAGAAAGAAGAGGAAGAGAAAGAAAAGGAAAAGGAGGTGTGGGAAAAGGAGAAGAAGGAAGAGAAGGTAGAGGAGGAGGTACAGGAGAAGGAGAAGGAAAAGAAGTAGAGGAGGAGGAGAAGAGGTGGTGGTAGAGAAAGTGAAAAGTAATAACAACTTCCAACCAGTCTACCAACCAATGTGCTGATTCTCAAAAAATTCTACTGGAACCAAATCCATCATTCAGTAAAATCTACGGAATATCACACCACCCAAACCCCCCACGGTTATCGTTCAATACATTCTAACCAATAACCAGTCTAACCTTAACCAAGTGGAATCTATACACTATATATTCCTTAGCCAGAGGCCTCTCCCCATGTACCCCTGTGGATCTAATACAATACAGTCTATATATTTCCTAGTCAGGGGGCTGTGCTGCCTGTACCCCAATGGGATTTATAAAATACATTTGATATCTCCCCTAGCCAGGAGGCTCCGTCCCCTGGGCCCCCAAGGTGAAACCATATACTTTTGGAAGAAAAACCCACAATGTAAAAACTAGATTTATTGAAAGTGAGACAACAGACAAACTGTTGTCAAACTTTAAAAAAAATCTTGCTTTACATTGTGGGTTTTCCTTCCATCGTATGAACACAGTAGAGTGTTTTCACCATCCATGAATTTTAACAGGGCAAAATATCAAACATTTTTTCCACTTCCATCTACTGTTTGCATTGTCTGGTTTCAAGTCACTTCTTTTGGCATTAGGGGCACTTTAATATCAAGCGGTGATATTAATTAATATCTACTTCCTCTGTATAGTCACTACATATTATTTAAAAACACTTAAAACAACTAAAACGAAACATTTCTCGCCAACAAGCATATAGTAATACAAGAACTACTTAACAGATCACAGTAAAAGTAATAAAGTCCTATTCGTTTTCATCCTCGCAAGGAAAATAAAATGAGGGAAAAACATGGGTCAATCTTCTCTCTTCTCTGTCATATATCTCCTTTAATTTCGATATGTGCGCCTTTTGCCTTAGACAAAATATGTATCTCACTGTATATAAAGCCTCTCTTCATAGCCTCAATTTCTAATTACTGGTTGAGTCATACCTAGAACATACCTGGCCTAAATTCGAAAATTGGAAACAAAAACAGGAAAACGCAACAGAAAAGGATAAAATGAAGAAAAAATATACATGAAAAAAATAATTTTGAGGACAAAAACACCTCTTCACGAATATGCCACATCTAATAATATTCCCTGCACGTAAAATCCGCCGGACAACATGTAGTATAAGGTAGTGGCAGAGTTGGGTAATAAATCCTACATGAAATGATAGAGCAATACAAACCAAGACAAAGTTCTTCTATGGCAATAAGTGTGCAAATGCTTCCCAAGGCTGCTATACATAAAAGAAAAGGCAAATGCTTCCCAAGGATGCTATAAGTAAAAGAAAAGAGAAGATCCCCCCCCTCCCCCGGTTAATATGTAGAAGAGGGTAGTGGGTTACTTTCGAAACAATTTCGATGTTTTTCTGCACGAAATCCACTGCTTTCAACAATTCTAGGCATTGCTCATTGTGCAAATGAGTCACTGAGGAGATATGATCACCATCTCCATTGACAATCTTGATTTGATGGTCCCGACAGCAGGGGGGGGCATGAAGCCTATCAGGGAAATTGTGGGGTAAAACAGGACCCCCCCCCCGGTTGTTAAACAAAACGTCCTAACCCAACACCCAACCTAACCTAACACCTTGGTATATATTCCCTGGACCCCTGTGGTAATATATATGCCCAGCAGCCTTGGGAAGCATTTGCATACACATTGCCATTGAAGAACTTTGTCTCGGTTTGGTAGTGTTCTATCATTCCATATAGGATTTAGGACCCAACTCTGCCACTACCTTATCCTGCCCACTGACCCACCCGCCTCCGTGGCCTCTCAGCAGCCTTCGTGGCCACTTAATCCAATCAATCAACCCATTACTCCCCTAATGACCGCCTTCCCATTAATCACCGCTGCCACATCATCAGCCTCCCAAGAACCCTTTGCCTGTTCAATTCCTCCCCCCCGCCCCGTGACAGCCCTCTCCTCGGCCACACACCCCCACGAGAGACCTAAACCGAGACAAAACCCCTCCAACAAAACCCCCCAAATCATCGAAAACCAACCAACTTCAACACTAAAATTCTTCCTCCTCGACGACGACGTCAAAACACCCCCAACGAA